TATATACTTCTGCATTTGGGGAGTCTGTTATTCTTTATTGTGCCTTTGTACTTAGATCTATTTCTAAAATTACCTCACCTCAGCCATTGTTAATTGGCATTCCTCACCATTTGATTAAAAAATATCCTTCACCTCTTATGAGAATATTATAATCCCTATATGTTTACATAAGATAGAAGCATACCTTTAGATACTAGTTCTACTTGGCATGTTAAATAATATTTTATTTCTTCATTTTTAAGATTTTGGCCATTTAAACTTGAATTATTGTATCATATTAATGTTTTTCAATAATTGAAACTTGTAATTATATAAGGTACAATTGTTTTTATTCCATTTTATTTCATATATTTTTTGAAAGTATGACCTTAATTACATTCTCTGTCAAATTGTGTCCCTTATATTTATAGATCTGCTCAAAACTTCTCTTTATGTATTATACACACTTACAATCATGTACTTTTTATATAAATACTTGGACAGCATTCTATATACACTGTAAATGCCTTTTATGTTCAGTCCATTCTTCTTTTCCAGTTTGAATCCCCTGGACTTCTTGGTCAACAGTTCCTTAAGGAAGTTGTGCCCACCAACTGTGGTAATATTTAAGGATATCATTGATTTCATTATATTTAACATTTACTCTTTTAATGTTATTTCATATTACATTGCTCATTTTTACCGCTGTAGGAATTTCAAGTGAATTTTACAAAGAATTGTGTCTCAGTTTTTCAGAGAGCATTTTGCCCATAAAATGTTTTAATATTCACTTAGTTAAATATGTCTACCTTCTTCCATATTTCTATCTTACTTAAAATAATTTTCTCATTAGAATACTTTAAATACAGTTTTCTAAAATATTTTAGAATTGTTTGTGTTAACTTTTAAGAATTAGTCTGTTTTGCAGAAAGAGTATCTGAACCATGAGGTAACAAAGAATAAACCCAGAAGAAAAATAAGAAAGCAGTCTTTCTCATCCAATATTAAGTCATAAGATAACCCATTGGTAAAATATGTATAGCACAGCCACAAGAGGACAACTTTTCTGCTATCTCTTGAAAATATATCAAAGAATATTTTGTTCTCCTTGGTGTATTCCCTCTTCTAAATTTTTGAATTATTTTCCAATCTTGGTTTATTGTTTGTTTTGTGGTGTTCACGCTGTATGTTGCTTCAAGCAATATACATATATATATATATATATATTCATATATATATATATATTCTTATTTTGTCTTTTGGATGAGTGTATTTTTCATCATTCATTATTTTT